TCAGTCAAGAACACGTTCTACCCTGATCTAACAATGCTTGCCTCGATGCATGCTTTAATAGGGTGCAAGTTTAATACATTCAGTAACATATTTCTATCAAATACAGGTGCTGGGGCACGATTTGAAAAAATCGAAGGCAAGATGGAGATGCAGGAAAGCGGTACGAGTGCTGGGGAACACAGGTCACTCGCATGTAAGTTTGGGCTAATTATTATTGAGACTCTTTCATACACTTGTCTGATTGAAATTTCCCGTCAGTCGCATGTCAAGAGAACTTTCGTTCAGTTCGACTCTACCAAACAGCGCACGTTTTCTTCGGACACTTCGGGTGGTTTCTCTAGTAACACTAGACAAATAAGGGATGAACTTTACTGCATCTTTATGGAAAACAGTTTGGAATTGATAAAGCTATTGAGCATAAAGTTAGTTTAGTTTAGGTTTCCTCCTGTAGTATTACTAGAACAGCATAAAGTTAGTTTAGTTTAGGTTTCCTCCTGTAGTATTACTTTCTGAATCTCTAGGGAAAACAGTTTAGAGCTGACAGAGCTATCCAGGATAAGATTAGTATAGTTCACAAGTTTCCTCGTGCAATGACATGAGACCAATAAGGGATAATATTTGCTGGACCTCTAAGGAAAATACTTTAAAACTGATAGAGCTATTCAGTATAAAGTTAGTTTAGTTTGGGTTTCTTCTTTTCGTGGCACTTAGAGAGAACAGTGCAGATCATATTGACCCATCCAGCATAAATAAAGTCAGTCTGTCCGTGGAAAGGAAATACTGATGTTTCTTTATTTATCTAGCTCCCCCGGGCTTCACGAAAACTCCTAAAGGGACCGTTGCTAAAGCAGGAACCAATGTTACCTTCCCAACGACATTCCATGGTGATCCTCAGCCCTCTGTAGTATGGACCAAGGACGATGTGGAAATAAAAAGTGAAGGAAAATTTAATATCAATACCACTGAAGGTGCGAGCACGCTCGAGATCTTCAACGTAGGCAAGGCTGATAATGGCTGGTATAAAATCGCATTACACAACCCTTCAGGCTGGGCATGGGCAAACGCACAATTAATTGTTACCGGTAAGTTCATTAACGGACCTATTCCCTGATGAACAAAATTTTGATCAAGACAAGTCTAGACAAAAATTTCATCACAGCTTGAAAGAGCATCACAAAATTAGTAATATTCCGTAGTAGTACGCGCGGGAAATTGATACTTTTTTTCAGAAAGCGGTATCAATTTCCCGTGCGTAATACAAAATGACTGAAAAACGGCAAACTTCGCAGGGCTATATTATCTGCATTTTACAACATTTCTCAACGAAACTTCGGAATATTACTAATTTTGTGATGCTCTTTCAAGCTGTGATGAAATTTTTGTTACTTTACTTTTTTACGTTACTTCTGGGCAAGTATAGTAGGACTGTAGGAGTATGGTTTCTGTATACCATCACCTTAGGGTAGCGAAATTGAGAAACATGTATTGTGCTGGCTCTTCGTGATCCTTAACCATGCATGCTTAACTACAGTCAGTCCGCAAAGGCACGATGCGGGCATAAGCAGAGCACTGTCTTTCTGTGGTCAAAATTCTTTTTGCAGCACCCCCCCCTTACGACAACTGTTTGAGAGAGCAGGATTTGACAGGTTAAATTATCCAAAGAAACTTCCATCATCAAGAAATTCGGTCTTGATTTTGAAAAATGACTTGCTTAGCTACCCCCTTAACGAAATTACCCTATTAAGGAAGTGAGTGTGTGTGTTTGTTGGGGGGGGGGGGGGTATTTAAACACTATTCACCTGAGCTATGTTATTTAAATACTATTCACCTGAGTTCAGAACAATATCAGATCACTTGAAGGTGTCCCTCAGTCAAGAACACGTTCTACCCTGATCTAACAATGCTTGCCTTGATACATGCTTTAATAGAGTGCAAGTTTAATACATTCAGTAACATATTTCTATCAAATACAGGTGCTGGGGCAAGATTTGAAAAAATCGAAGGCGAGATGGAGATGCAGGAAAGCGGTACGAGTGCTGGGGAACACAGAAAACCAAGAGATGTGAAAGAAGACAAAAAGCCAGGTACAGGGTGAAAACCCAACCATTCCATGATGCACCACGCACAACACTTAAACTTTGCAATCACCCACTACGAATTCACCACAAATTATGCACCATCGTAACACATTACCATTATCCACCCCCGCATCTTGTTTAATTCTAAAATTGCAAGCCCTGTCACACCATGACGCAACATACACAACCACGCAAACGTTGCAATCACCAACTACGAATCCAAAATCACCACAAATCATGCACCACCCATTACTCCTGCGGTACACTGGTACAGTTCATATTGTACCGCACTGTCTTACACCAACAACAGGATGTACACTTAACTTACTGCATAAGCAGGGGCGGACTGTTTGGGTAATTGAGAAGTGAACCGAGGCCCGGAGACCTTTCGGGGTCAGGAATTGCTGGAAGAAGGACAGATTTAGATTATTTCCTTTTGCTGAAAATTCACCAGGCTTCTGAGCTATGATTCCTGGAACATGATTGGCTCCTTCCGAGTGCAAGCTACTCTGGCCGCCAATCAGTTTTAGCGAAAAAATCGTCGCGAAAATATCGGCGTGTCTTAGAAACTTTGACCCTACGTTGTGAAAACCAAGTAGACTTGGCTGTATTTATGCTACATGTTTCAAATGCAGATAAGGAAGCATGGTATAATGTTTCCTTCACGTTTGTGTAAAAATGTTCCTCAATCCTCTTGCTACGACAAATGTCCCTCAGGATCCCGAGATGCCACCTTTCTCCAGGTCCGCATTAATTAAAGTACATTTGTACTGTACCATTATGCACCATTATTATACACTTTTCAGTATCTGCATGTCCTTCGTAGCCCCAAACGACTGTCTATTCCCCCCAAAACGGGGTGCACCCTTACCATTAGCCCGTATCGCGGGTAAATTTTTTGTTTATTTTTTCCACATTGTCTTTGCAATTACCAACAAAGAAATTACCACAAAATATGTACCACCATTAACCCGAATTTCAGCTATCACTAAGATTCATAATAATTCAAACCTCGACCCAGGTTTGAAAACTAGCCAGCGATCTAGAAATACCCGAGAGACCTTGACCCTTTTGCTCATAAATATATAGGTAGGCGGTCAGAAGTTGGAATCTTAAAAGATCTTGCAATACACCGAAATTGAAAGACACTGTTTATTTTATACTTTATCGGCATTATAATTTGCAAACAGCTGGCGAAATGGTTGCAAGCGCTGTGAGGGCATCTGTTAAGTCGAGCGACAATTTTTGTCTAATCTTAAGGGCTCCATTTGGAGGGAAATAAATCAGTTGGTGACTGCTATTTAAACTTAATCAAGGAGTCTTGATTCTTATCTCGTAACAGTAAACTATCACTGTCTTAATCTTCTATCCAGATGACGTATGTAGACTTATAAAAAAGACAAGCCCCACATATGGCTTCAGAGACGCTCCAGCCCATTGTTAATTTGATAATTAAAAATAATTTACTGGAATTGACAAACTTCATTAGAATAAATACTAAATAGTCATTATAATACTGTCATTTCCTTACTCAGTTGCAAATATATATTATATAAAGAACAGCTTGCATATCTGATACAAAATCCTGCTGGTTTAAAAAAAAGTTAAAATTATTGAAAAACACGTTTTGATCAACAAGGGATTACTAAGCTTCCTGAAGCCTTTGGCATTAGGCTAAATTTAAACTGTAAATCTTACGACATAGCAACAAATTTAAGATTGTTGATCAACAACTTGAACTGTTAACTGATAAAGCAATCTTTAGGTCACGTACTAGTCATTTTATTTATAAACCTGAGCTTTGGAGTTTTGAGAGATTAAAGATATAAGCTCCAGGCTGTAGTGGGGTCAGTGTTGCATGGTTCTGTATATGGGCAACTGTTTCCATGAAATCATGGACTATCTCCAATAAAGACTGCGCTTAATTAAACAAACAAAATTATATACTATGAACCTGAAAATCCCTGGACTTGGAAATAGATTTGATTAAAATGTTACAATGCATGCTACTCCACTTTCTTATTGTTGTTTAATATTTGCACTGTTCTCATAAACCAACTCTTAAATTAATACAATTGTATATTTGTGTTCGCCCACAGTTATTGGTGTATAATGTTGTTGTAACCTTTTGTGACAACGCCTTAAAGTTTGAAAATAGATGAAAATTAATAAGGCTTAAGTTCAATGTCAGGTTAAGTTTCCAGTATGTTTACGTGGTGGTGAATTGTTGACAAATATATGGCGCAATGTTGGACGAAAACACGCTCCAAACACAATAGCTGATAATGACAGTCTCGTAATATGGCCGCCTCAAATGCTAACCAAAATGTAATTGTTTTGCTCTGTGGAAAATTAAGGGTAGAATTAGCAAGATCTACCAGACCTAAATAACACCTATCATATAATAACCATATTTATTGGATTTCAGTGGTTCAAATTTCACTCTATACTTATATTGATGATTGAAAAGGACACTATAGTACAAAGTATTTTTACAAAATGAGCAGGTTTCAATCAATGTGTAAATTGCTATCGAATTCGCGAATAGAATTAGGGAGCAAAATGTTTCTGTGAGACTGTGACCATGTCCATATTTGGATAATTTCTTAGCAAATTACCGAAGAGCTAATTGCCTAATTTACCTAATAGACCTAATTGCCCAGCATGGTGCGACTACCAGTATAAATACATCATTCGTTAGCAATTACCAAATGCGCATTTATGTTATGTCAATTATCTCCCAATAATTGCTATACTTTCTTAAATATTCTGTGCTAAGCATTTAGTAAACATTTTATTTCGCATGAAACGAATTAAGTTTACTCCGTAATTGCTTAGTTTTAATATGATTACCAGCACAGAAAAAATTACCTACATGACTAGTTGATATTCTTAATTTTTGTTAAAAATCAGCTTAGCGAGTGATCTGATTAGAGCATTTTGATTCAATCTATACCTCGTAAATTATTCATGATTTCATAAAGGTTACGCAGTATTGTTAAACTATTAAAGGCGCAAATCGAATACAAATCGAGATACAAATTTATATTAGCTCTCTATGCTATTCGATTACATGATTAAGGTAATACCCTAACGACCTGATATTGTTTACACATATTTTTTCAACTTCGCCAAGTAGCAATCATCACAAGTGCGGTCTAGCGGAACTCACTCTCTGACCTTTAATTGTCTGGTTTCAATAAAGTAAATGTTGTGAGGATGTCACAATAGTGATTTATTCTTTCTCAATGAAAAGGTAAAGGGTTTGAGTGGTTAAGTGATTTGCGTGACTTTTTTATTATTTATTTTGATTGTATGCTAAATTATTTTCGCTTTGACATACTTCACACAAGGGACAAATGGTTTAAAGACTTTGGTATTTAAGTGGTTTTGTAAAGTGATACGTATAGACGTTTCGCTCTGAGAAACATGTCATTTGAATACGCGCAACTATAACGATTACGCGCAGTTGGATAATATTTGCGCGTTTTATCCGCATGACTGAATCGCTACTTGTTGAGATTATCTCCGCATAAATCGCGCTGTGCTGCTTGTACTGCCCATATGTTAGACGCATTTCGCGCGATAAGAATAGATTGAGCAAGCTATAATTGCGCTTGCAATGAAACTGTCATTTCATACCAGGCATATGCGATGCGCATTCCAAATAAATTTGCATGAACTCCGTAAATTTGCGCTCTATTGTTTGGAATTTTCTTGTAACGCAGTATAATCAGATTTAGAAAGATAATAGGATTCTGACAATAACATTCGCTGCGGGTAACTCTACGTTAGAACCTTTTTAAATTGTTATTTAAAATATGTGAGATGAAAATTAAGTCCATATAATTGGCATATTAGTGGTATGGAAAAGCTCATTTCCTTTTCACGTCACGTTCATAATTTGCTCTATGATTTTGTAACCTTTTTTCGTCAACTTTTTACGTAAGTTTATGTTACATTGTCCTGGGCTGTAACTGCTGTTGATATTTATTTACAGTGTAAAAAATGAAAGCGTTGAAATATTCCATGCTTGGCGGTCTCTCACGCCAGCAGGTGGTGGACATAGGAGACAGCATGAATGCGCACCGTTAATTAACCCACGCGCGGATGAGTGTCGTGTCTCTTTACAAAGCGCAGCATTATTACCGTTCCTTTTCTATTTCAAGTAGGCACAATGGCACAGAGCGCTCCGGTTTTCTCATTGGAATTGGTCGATTGTAAGACGAAAGATGGTAACGCGGCCAGATTTGTGGGTAGGGTATCATCCCTACCACCGCCAACCGTTAAGTGGTTCAAGGACGATAAACTATTACACGAAAGTCGACAGTACAGCTTTTTGTACACCGGTTCGTCTTGTACGTTAATCATAACCCGAAGCAAAGAGGCCGACGTCGGGACTTACAAATGTGTAGCAACAAATAGCCAGGGTAGTGCGTCGTCGAGTGCGAGGCTAATACTTGAAGAGCTTGGCAACGATTGCGGTGACTCGAGCTCGGAGAGTGAAGGGGAAGCCCAAACGGAGGTAGAACCGAAATTAGTCACCTTAACTCGCAACAGCGCGGAGGATATTTACACCATGCAAGACGAATTGGGTCGAGGGAAATTTGGTATCGTTAAGAAGTGCGTCGACAAGTCTACAGGTCGCGAGTACGCAGCGAAGTACATTGTATGTAACAGGAAGGCTGCACGTGACGAGGTCCTTCATGAGATAGACGTGATGAATGAGTTAAACCATAAACGACTTCTGAGGCTTGAAGCTGCGTTTGATTTGGGGAAAGAGATGGTGCTTGTGATGGAATTGATTACGGGAGGAGAACTGTTCGAGAAGTTGGTCGAGGAAGACTTCATCAGCGAGCAAATTGCGACATTGTATTTGGAACAGTTGCTGGACGGTCTTGGCTACATGCATGGTAAGAATATATTACATCTTGATCTGAAACCCGAAAATATGATGCTTGTCCGACCAGGAAGTAAACGAATCAAGATCATAGACTACGGCCTCGCGAGGAAGTACAATCCGGGTCAGAAATTACAAGTCATGCAGGGAACACCGGAGTTCGCAGCCCCGGAAGTTATAGCCTACGAAGGTGTTACCCCGGCGACCGACGTCTGGGCTGTGGGAGTTATAACGTACGTAGTGCTTAGCGGTCTATCCCCCTTTCTTGGCGACGATGACGGGGAGACGATGAGCAATATATCCAGTATGGCTTGGGAATTCGATGATCCAGTTTTCGACGAAGTCACTGATGAGGCTAAAGATTTCATCTTGAAAATTTTAATGAAAGATGAACGAAAGCGCATGACGATTCTCGAATGCCATGCTCACCCGTGGCTTAGGACAAAAACCAAGAAAAGGCTCGAGACGCAGCGACTTAAAACTTTCACGGCCCGACGCAAATGGAAAAAGGCGCTCACCGCTGTACGGAGTACCAATTTCTTGAGCCGCATCTTGAACAAAAGTGGAAAGAGTGGCGACAAAGCTGGCAGTGCTGGTAAAGGTGCTTTCCTGGCGAAGATTAAACAGCAAATCGCCGCAGAGGAGACCGCAGAAAATTCTGAAAGCGCAAAAGATGCAAAAGATGTCAACGAGAATATCGCGTCGATCAAGAACGAAGTGCCTCAGTTGAATGGTGATGTTAAACAAGAGGGTAACAAAGGTACACGTAGTGTGAAATATGGATATTTTTATCGCACTCGCACAAATATGCACCGAGTTTCACCTGTGGTTTTTTTCATCCTCGTTCCCAGTTGAGGTTTGCTTTGTTGGGGGTCTTTGATTTTTTTGCTATTTTGGTGGCATGAATTTTTTGTCCGTATGGAATTTTCCCCGAGGTTTTTTATACTAATTTTTAATATTTCTCCACGTTTTTTAAGGTAATAATATTAATTATTATTATTAACATAAAATAATGTAACATCAACCAGTGCATGAAACTTATTTTAATAATAATATAAGTAATAATAAAGTAATTAACAGCAGAAAGAAAAGTTTAAGCATGGTGATTGCATGATCGCCTATGATAACCATACAGAGCTAATCTGGACTGGTGCATGGTCAGCTACAGAAATATTAATACATATTTCATGGTAACCTGCATAATTTTAATGATCTAAGCCATTTGCGCATATTCTCCATTTCATATATGAATGACTAAATTACGTAACTTCACTAACTTGTTCGTAAAACGTTCGTAAATCGTTCGTACATCATTCGTGCATCATTCGTGAACCATTCGTAAGTTCGTACGTAATATAATACCGTATTGATAGCTGGTCATAAGTCAGGAGTCACTCATAGCAGGTCAAATTATGTTTATCTATTTAGTCATTAGTCTGTGGTTTGTGCGATCATTTTGCGTAATTCTACCGTTAATCAGACTAATTTGCACATATTTTGCATGCCATTATTGCACACTTATTCAGGTCTTACAATCACGCGAGGACGTTACGTCACGTTGAGTAATCCACGATTTTGGGTGGCAAATATAATGGTGGGCTCTATATGAACAGCAGAGAAAACCACTGTCTCGATTCGCCAGAAAATGGCCTCGGTAATGAATTCGTATTAAGTCAGTTAAATGAAAACGATAATTTGGAAATCTCTCGAAGTAATCTAGACCGCTGTTTGTCGCTGTGTATGTTTTTAATTAGCTTAAAATATTTGCCACCCAAATTAGTGAAAGTCGACCAATTACACCACAGGATGTGTTGTGACGTCACTTGCGAGAGCTGAATAACTTTGTTATATTATATCCATAAATATCGTTCGTATAACGTTCGTGTGACAATTGTACGTCATTCGTGGACCAGTAGTGCATGGAATAGAATGTTTGAAAGCTTTAATGAAAGCACAACTCATCTATGCTGTGGCTATAGTCTTGTTTTGTCCTTTTCTCGTCACGTGTTTATTAGGGAAATTCAGATTTGACTTCCACTACTGCCACCTCCCACAGGCTTAATACGTAATTGATTGGTTAATCGGGTAGATTAAACGCATCTGATTGGTTAATGGTAACGGTAGTGGAAGTCAAACTCTGAACATCTTTTGTTGTAAATTACGAATGGGACAGTTTCCGCATGTCGTTAAATGAATTTTTGGAGCAAAACATGTCTGTTGAGCTCAACAACCTTGTAGCAAGTTGTCAATAAGCCGTTGACAACTTGTGAACAAGCTGGGAACAAGCAGTGCGAACACATCCTGTTGACAAGTTGTTGGAACAGCATTGCTACAAGTCTACTGCAGGTTTGTAACTTGTGTGTAGTCATCCAGTTATCGGAATGTTCCATGCACTGTCTTTTCATTTTTTTTTGAAAATCCTACTGTTCTTGTAGTTTTAGCATATTTGTGACATTGTACTTATTGTACGTCATTCAGCTTTCAAATGTTTTATTCTATGATCATTCTTACAGTCTAAGTTACAGACCAACCTTATAGCAAACTGCACTGTAATACCAAGTTTCCAACATATTTTCAAAGCCTTTCTGTCATATTCGATTTTTAGCAGGTCAATCATCTTTCATCGAGGAACTTCAAGACCAGCAGGTACAGAAGGGGTCACCCGTCACACTCACAGCCAAAATTTCGAGCACTGGTACCGAGCCTAAAATCACGTGGAAAAAAGACGCTAAGGTCCTGGGCCGAGGTCGAGCGCGGATGACGTACGACAAGGGAACGTTGACGTTAAAATACGCAAGGACTGACTACGAGGACACCGGGGTTTATACAGTGGAAGTCGATACTGGATCAAACGTGATTGAGTCCAGTGCAAATCTTGAGATCGCAGGTATGTAAATGCTTGGTGCCCGCTTTAGTGTATTGTCTGTTGGAATTTTTAGTCTCTAAATAAAACCTTGTCTTCCACGTAAAACAATTGTCGCTTGCTGCGAGCGATTGTGTCTCGTACACGCGTAAAAATCTCACACCTTGTAGCAAGTCTGCTAACGAGCCGTCAACAAGTTGTGTTCGCACTGCTTGTCCCAAGTTGTCAACAAGTTTGGAACAAGCTGTGCACAACTTGTAACAACCTTGTTGATATTATCAGACTTGTTGCAAGGTTGTTCCAACAAGTTTGATACAGTCATGATATAACAATATTGTTACAACCTTGTGTAATCAACCTTGTAACATTCTTGTTTTATCATGACTGTATCAGACTTGCTGGAACAACCTTGTAACAAGTCTGATAATGCCATCAAGCTTTTTGTAACAAGTAACATCAAGCTTGTTGTAACAAGTTTGGAACAAGCTGTGAAGTAAACACAAAAGAAATCATGGGCGTGAAGGAGTCTGTATATGTGATACAGATTCATGTTGATTTACATAAACTTTAACTTTGATTTTCTCGGCTTAGACAACGTTTATTTTTAAAATTACTTCGCCAATGAACTCATAAGATGAGTCGTTTTTTATGCAATTTTCCGGCTCGAGTTTGTATATCCGATACAACACGCACGCGAATGTTGTAAATAGTAACTATTTTGTAGTTAAATAGTGATTAACTCTCAAATACGCGCTTCTTATTGGATGACGTTCGCACTAACTATAGTTAACTTTAATCACTTTTTTATACCACCGGCCCCTGTTATTTAGCTTTTCTATGATATATTTCTTAAACCGTAACGATGAGAAATGGCCAAATACTCGTCAAATAAAAATTGTCAGTCGAAATCACATTCTTCCACCATTGAGAATTGAAAATACATTAATTATTCAAAGTTAATCAATCCAAAAGCAACGCGAGCCTGCTGCAAGGTATTTGTTTCGTAAAAATTTTCGTAAAACGTTTTGATTACGAATGTTCTCTGTTCATGCAATGGTTAATTGAACCAAGTTTAATGTAATAATGGACGTTCTTATTGTCTCACTAAGACGAAGATTGACGAGTTGAGCTCATTTTAGATAATTTAACATTCAACTTTAATTCCCTGTTGGGAATTGTCTATGTTTCGTTTTCCATGCAATTCCCAACGGTGGAAGAATGTGATTTCGACAGGCAATTTTGACGAGTATGTGGCCATTTCTCATCGTTACGATTTAAAAAGAGTATCATAGAAACGCTAAATAACTGTTCTTTCGTCCTATGTAAAAATTGAATTGTTTAGCCACGTTTATGATGCACGACAGCCTGTTGAATTTCCATAGCGTTTTTTTAGACACCATGTATAGTACGTGTATTCTTCTTTGAAGAGTTTATTTCTCATCTTTCTAGATGTTCCTGACTCGCCCTCGCCTCCCGAGGTCTCGGAAATTACAACAAATTCCTTGAAACTATCATGGCGTGCGCCCAAAGATGGTAACAGTCCTATCACCAAATACGTCCTCGAATACCGCAAGACAGGAGAAAAAGACTGGACACTAGTTCCAGGAGATGTGGCATCAACGACGCATGTAATCGAAGACTTAACTCCGAGGACTTCCTACAGATTCCGTATTAGTGCCGTAAACAAATTAGGGAGTAGCCGACCAAGCAGGTTCTCAGGCCTTGTCGAAACCAAGAGATAGAAAACAGGTATTTACGCATGTTTTTTTTTCTACATTTTTTCTACATATTTTTTTTTGTAATTTTTCATTTATTCGCTAATTTGTAAACTCGATAGTGTTCAACCTCGTACAAAAGGTTCTCAATCTTCGCTTCTACCTCGCTTGAATTGAGACCCTGGTATCGCTGGTCACGTGACCTGTCATATTTTGGCGGATTTGTTCAATTGTTTTTAGGGAAAGGATAGTAACTGAGATGTTTTGTTTTGTAATGTTATTTTAACAATATTAATGTTTACTACAATATCTACTTACTATACTTTCCCTAAAACAATTGAACAAATCCGCCAAAATATGACGGGTCACGTGACCAGCCGATACCGGAGTCTCAATTCAGGCGAGGTAGGAGCGAAGATTGAGAACCTGGGTACGAGGTTGGATAGTGTTCTCTGCATAATGTTTTTATATTGAGACTTAAAACACACGCACTAGTTGGGTTCCACAAAGCAGATGGTGCTCGACCGACGGTAAAAGACTGGGACCTGGCTGCCTTTCATTTCGCCTGTGACGTCATGTTTACCAAATGCTTTCCCAACATTGACCAATCCTGCCAAAGCCAGCATCGTATTCGGTTGTTGACACCATCTGTCAGAGCTGTGGACTCGAGTCCCAATTTTTCTGACTTAACTTGTTACTCAGGTTAACGACTTGTGACTTGGACTTGCAAGAAATGACTTCTTACCAAAGCAAGTCAAACGTAAAGTCTTAAATATCTGGTGAAAATTAACTTTTCTATAACTTGCACTGGAAACTCATCGATGCGCAGGGACTAGTGCAGCCAGATTGGCATATCGCAGTATGGCTCCTGAGACTTGGTCACAGACAAAAAAGACGTGTGACGTGGCTTGACTTGCTACTCGGAATGAATGACGTTTGGCTTGACTCGGACTTAATGACTTGTAACTTGGACTAAATGACTTGTGACTTGGACTAAATGACTTGTGACTTGGACTAAATGACTTGTGACTTGGACTAAATGACTTGTGACTTGGACTAAATGACTTGTGACTTGGACTAAATGACTTGTGACTTGGACTAAATGACTTGTGACTTGGACTAAATGACTTGTGACTTGGACTAAATGACTTGTGACTTGATTTGATTTGGTACTCTGAATGAATGACTTTGACTTGTCTTGATCAGTGACGGAAATATTGATGGGGCGGGGGACGGCCGCCCCCCACCTTCACGGAAAATTGACGAATTTTCGGAATTTTTGACCTAAAAGAGGGCTAAAAACAGTCTTTTCGAGTGCAAATGGGGGGTATGTCGGAAATTTGAGAGTTTTGTCGGAAACTTAGTAGGCTTTGCCCCCCCCCCCCGATCGGAAAAAGTGAATTTCCGCCACTGGTCTTGATTTGACTTGGACTAAATGACTTATGACTTGCGAAATAAGACTTGCCAAGATCTGTTGCCTAGCTAAAAATCGAGTCACTCCTGACATTACTAGTGTTTAAATGTTATTAGATTACTGGATGTTTGATAGTAAATATTTTGCTATACTTTTCTAGAATTTGCTTGAGCCAATGAAATTATAAATATTCAATGCAAGTCAACAACGCCAGAGAATTGGGGTCTGAACCAAGGATGAAATATTTGTATTATACAGTTTAATTTAGTTTAGTAATTAGCAATTATATATTACATTAATGAAGTACAATTTACATGAATTAGAACAATTGTAATAGCATAGTTTATAATAGTGTAGTTTTTCAGTTGTGTTTTTATAATAGTGTGGATTTTGTATCGATTAAAAATATGTAGGTTTTTAATACTGATATAGTTCATTTTAATCGAGAAATTTGTATCGTATTTTTGCATATATGTGCGATTTTAGTTTTGTAAACTTAAATATTGTATCATAATTATTTTTCTACTTTAAAATTTATATTGTTTATAACTGAGTAAAAATAATAATATGGTCTATCTGAAAAATTGTGGATTTGAGGTCTTTGTCAACTGCTATGATTTGCTTGTCGATGACGTTAGGACTCCTTCAATTTTGGGGGTGAGGGAGGGGGGGGGGGGTTGCCGAGTCGTTAGCCTATGTACACGGGAAATGCTCCCTCGGAAACATTTTGAAATCTAGAGTATCTGAAATGGCATTTCCTTCGTTCTGGGGAAGATTTCAAATGAAATATTTCCTCAGTCTTTGAAACTGATCCTAATCACCCGCAACAACTGTTTCCAGGCATGACCGCTGTCACAAACAAACTCTTCTGCATTGATATGGGCTGTTGGGCAACTTGGGCTATTTTGAATATTCAAATTACCTGCTACGACTAGATAGGGGCATAGGGCACATTTTCAAGATGTCGTGTGAGAGTCTGATTACATGGAGAGACTTCAGCCCTGCCTATAAATGATTGCCTATTAAAACACAGCAAGCTATTACCCGGGCTGAAAATTTCATTCCGGGTTGAAAATCGTCAAGTATTTTTTTAATCGTCAAGTAATCGACGGGACATTTCAACCCGGGTTGAAAAACCGGCGGGTTTAAGTGGCTTTATTTATGTCTGGTCTATTTTTGAATGCAACCACAGTCTCACAGAAGTCAAATAATATAGACATGAACAACATTTTAAATTCTTCGCAGAAGCGCTCCATTTTGAGACTTGATCGTTTCAGTTTGACCTGAAATTCTAACTCACCCAGGTCTGAAATTTGCCCGGGCTGAAAACTCCCCATGTCATCAACCCCTAAATTCACGTTTGCTTTTAAATCCGGTAATTTAATTCGATAATTCGTTCCATATCCAAACAGCTCCATTTTTGCCGAATGAATGCAACAATTTGCCGACTCGGTCATGAGTGGGGGCATTCCACCCCAACACCTCACCCCCCTCTCTGACGCCGTCCCCCTTCACGCCATGATTCGATTCAATAACACATTTCAAACAAAGGAAGCTGCAAAATTCGCTGCGCGTGTTGTCAGTAAACCACAAAGTTCGCAATATTCCAGAACCTGCCATTACTCATTAGAGAGCCAATAGGATTGCAGAATGGCTAATATCCTGTGCTTGTCTATATATTATAATATTGGATATTCGATCTTTTTCGAAGCTAAAAGAAATAATCGATAAAAACATCAAAAAGGAAATAGAACCGTACACATATTACTGTATCGTTGGTCTTGTCTTCTGACTTTTGGTGATATCAATATTTCTGGTATGTAACAAATGTAACATGTAATTTTGCAACCAATGAGCAAATTTGTCCTGTTCAAAATTATGTACGAATGTTATGGAGAAACGCTTAACTGAAATGTAAGAAAGCTTTGGATTGGATTGGATTGGCAGGGATATAATTACTTGAAAAATACAAGAAGAACTTCGACGTTTCGAGCGAATGTACTCACTACTAAGACTAAGTAACTTCCTTATATTTTTCGGGTAGTTGTATCCCTATTTATCCGAAGCTTTCTTTAATAGTACTATTGACACTACCTGCACTGGCACAGAACTGTTCGAGATTGTAACTAAAATGCAGCCCTTATAAATATAAGCCTCCTGTTTTCTTCATTACTTCAACCGTAGGCGTAACATTTTCTGTTGTGCCGAAGTCATTAAAGGCCATTTTCCATTGCAGTTGCTTTGCCCGCGCGGGCGGAGCGAACATTACTCAACTTCCTCTGTAGTTGCCTAACCTGTGCGCTTTTTGACCGCCTGACTGCTCGCGGACACGCCATGAAAGTAGAACTACATTCAACTTTCTTGGCGTGCCCGGGTGACTGATTTTTCACGTGAATAAAATTGGTCGCTCCGCCCACGCGGGCAACGGCGACTGCAATGGAAAATGGCCTTTAGTTCCACCGACACTAAAACGCTCACGAAACAAACTGGGAAAATACGCTACGTTTCAGTGTAAGTGTAACCTGCTAGCCAGTATACACTGACACAGACTGTTCGAGCAGGGGCGTAGGAAGCTTCGAAAAGTTGGGGGGGGGGGGGGGGGCAGGCTTTGAGGGGCACGTTTCGAAAAAAAAAGGGCATCTAAAAATTTTTTCCCGGAAATGTTGTCGACGAGGGGGGAGGTCATCTCAAAAAAATTTTCCGGACATACCAAAAAATTTTCAGGATATATGATATTTTTCCCGGAAATTAAAAATTTTTTCCGGAAATAACATAGATTAAAGTTTTCAAAAGTGCCCTTTGGGCAATTTTAATGAAAATTTTTCACGCAAAAAAGAGCACTTTGCTCCCGGAAAAAGGGCACTTGCCAAAACTGGGGGGGGGGGGCTGGTCCCCCCTGCCCCCCCGTTCCTACGCCCCTGTGTTCGAGTTGACTGCAGTAGTATATTCTAATCACTGATAATTTTAAAGGGCCGTTTACACTTGCAAATTTTGCTGCGATTTTCTTCTTGTGATGCATGTGAACGAGTGAATGAGTTATGAATGTTCAGATAAGGGTCATTCACACTTCAGATGAAGAAAATTGCATTAGAAATCGAAGCAAAAATTGCAATTGTAAAACCGGCCGTATTATAGGGTTAGGGTTTAAGAAAATATAGTTGCGATTATCGAAGTTGTCAACGAAGGGATCTCGCTCGAAATGTCGAAGCTCTAGTGCTTCTATTTTCTAAGTACTATTCAATATTTATATTGCGCAAATTAACATGTTGTAGTATATGATCAATTGCGCAAATGTCAGGTAGTTGTATATTTCTCAATATCCGTAGCTGTCTTGTCGTCATTACACTGGCACTACCCTGCTAGCAGTCGTTTTTGAGCTGAGCTTGTATCCTGCTTAGCAGGGTACACTGACACAGCCGTCCGTTCGAGTAGTGAAATGCAGTATATACACTGGGTTTTCTAACGTCGAACGGGACGGTGTCCGTGTACCCTAAATTAACGTCGCTTGCTCAAGCTCGCTAAGGGGTGGACCATTAGAAATCCCGGGAGGGGGGTATAAAATTTTTGCGGCACGATTTTTTTTCAGTCTCATGGCTCTGTTGGATTTTTTTTATGCATTTAACCTCCGGAAGAATTTTTTTTCAAGACTATTTGCACCTTGCTGTTTGCTTGCACGATTTTTTTTTCTCTGACGTAATGGCTGCGCGAATTTTTTTCCAGGCATTTTTCTTTGCACGAATTTTTTGGGGGGAATTTCCACACCCCTCCCGGGATTTCTAATGGTCCGCCTAATGTATCGTTGCATGAGAGATACGTCATAACCATTGAAGTTTTTAAAACTTAAGCCTAGTTTCCACATATGGTAAAGGTCGTAAAAATAGAGTCACGATCTTTCTCAACGGCCAGTTTATAATAGTTTATACCTGTAAACCACATATAAATCATAAGTATATTCTCTAGTTATAATCACTCCACGTATTTTCAGTTCGAAAATGTTGTATTTCGGCTGATGAGAAAGATCGTGACTCAATCTTTACGACCGCAACGACCATAATGAATATTGTCTGGAGCGTTACAACGCAAGAACTGCACGCCACAGTTATGGTGACGTCATTTTCAGGAGATTCTTTCGGAAAGTCGCCCCGGTAAATTGTATCACAGTATTTGTATTCCTTTATATAGCCTATATAAATATATTCCTTTATTTCTATATGCTCTGTTATGCTCATATAGACTGGACACTTACATGTAATACTTCATTGAAACCATAATTGTTTGTTTATATCTTTACATGAATATTTTCGATACAGAAATACTGAGACATGCAAAGGTCAAAGAATCTTACAAAACGTTTCTGCAAAAGTTTTGAAAACACTCCATCTTCATACATGCAAATGGAATGCGGAATGCTAGTTTCGCTGTGAAATCGTCCAACAGATGAGTGAAATCCCTCCTACGCTCTTGTTTTGTTGTGAAGCGGCTATTCATCGAACACTATTTGGCTTTCGTCAGCGCATATCATTACAATTCAGGCCAGATAATGAATTCAATGCCGACTGTTGCTTTATTTGCAATATTTTAAAAACAAACGCTACATTTTCATAGCAATATCTAGTGTCGCATCCTTTTTTATTTGACAATAATACCTAAAACACTGAATAATTTTGGTGCTTGTGCAAAAAAACACATTTTCCAAATGTGTTTGCATCAATTTATCCCTCCTGGGTCCTAGCTCTGCGCTTTTGCCTTTATCTCTGCTGGAAAATGACTAACTTTATGTCTGGTGTTAAGTTTAGGTACTTAAAACTACCCGAGGGGTTCTGAATACCACGATGCGATATAATGAGAAGGTTTTTGGGTTTTGGTTACAATTTGAATGGTTAATTTTATTCCCAAACAGCCGAATTGGGTCCCATGTTCTTGAAGTCAGCTAGAAACGGCAGCCATTTTCTACCACCCCGCAGACAAACGCGAGATTAACATGACAAGAAAATTTGATAATGAAGCTTTATGCGCTTAACCAAACATAGCTTAATTTGAATTTAATTTTCTCTCGTTTGCGTTGTAAAATAACCGAGTCTAACTTGGATTCCCTTTTAGAAAACACACAAACGAAGCGATTTCGTAGGTTTCGTAACGCTCTCTGCAGAAAAGGACGTATTATTAGCCGACAGATCTGTTTAAGTTTTCAACCGCTGGGGTCAATAGGTCAAGACAATAGCCCGCCTTTGAAACGTATAGTGAGAAGTGTCATATAGCGAAACTTGCCTGTTGTCAGACGACCCAACCTTCATCCACTACACGAGCCTAGCCACGCCGGACGTTTGTGTGCGAGTTTTCTGCAAGGGAATAGCTCAAACGCTTCAGGTTTTTGGAACCAAAGGTAAGGGAAGTTGGTTAGAGCTTCGTAAATATTTTTCACGAAAGCGGATTAGTTTTAAGACTGTGGTAATGCAATATGATAGTGGTATATATAACCGTATATTCAACCTTGCTAGTATGTTCCAATATCTGTTAACATACTATCATAAATTTCTCCAAACTTGTTCCCTACATTCGAGTGCATCTGTCAACCAGTGTAATTAGAAACGGTTTTATGATATTTTTTGAGCTTTTTGGCATATTCCAAGCATAAAATTTTATACCATAAGTATACGATATGAATGGTCTGTTTGGCTGATCTGTCGATTCGCTTACAAACATGTTATTCACACCATAAAACATTTGATTTGCATGCTAATAAATGTTAACTGTTATTCTAAGCTAGCATATCGTCTTCTATATGATAGCCCTGCTTGAATTTTGCAACAATTTTGCAAAATATAACTGACAGATTATTTGGTATCGGTTTTGGTGACTTGACACCTGTATGTTTCGCGTTATAAACATGGATGTTTTTTAAATGCAAGATTAAATATTTGAAAGAGGGCTATATAACTCTGTATTGTTGACAGACTGGGGAATATTTGTGCGTACTTGTGTGCTAACTAAGCGTGTTTGATTCCCTTGCAGTTGCACCATGAGTAACGTACATGAAAGTGTGTTCGCCAAATACGAACGACGAAATGACGTCCAGTTGGATTTTTCTGAAGAAAATCCCATGGAAACATACGAATTTGAGGAGGAAGTTGGCAGGTTGGTTGCCAAGGTTTAAACTTACTGTCAATATACACCATATTCTGTAGAACAGTATAAAACAATTCATAATATTTGCTAAACATGTATGGTATTTATAAGGTATTGTCAGTTTCGTAGAATGGTTCTTGAAACGATATTTATTTGGGATAACGTATACTATGTTTGTATGCAAGCGAGTTTGTATATAGTTTTGCACAAAGGACCTATATAGGTGACATACATGTTTATGTGTCCACATTTATTCATGCAAATATTAATCGCCAATGCATTCATCGGTCGTCGTGGTGATGGATGGCGTAAGCAGCAGGAGTTCGCCATATATGCGACCTGATTTTCGAACGGGCTTGCGGGCTATTCAAACGCTCGTGTATTATAATAAATGATCAGAAAATCATCAGTATCTCGCTTTTATAATCATTCGTTAAGACACTCGAACAGATTTTGGCCTCGTAGCTCAGTTGGTAGAGCATTGGACTAGTATCCCAAAGGTCGCGGGTTCGGTTCCCACCGTGGTCAGGCAAACTTTTCAGCTTGCCCGGCGTGGATGCACACTCAGAGTAACACCACAAACATTATATTCACCTGAGTACATAACATCAAAACACACACGAAAAATATCTTGCTTAAGCCTGGCGCACACGATGCGATTTTAGTCGGCCGATAAAAATCGTTTGACTAAAACTAACAAAATCGTTGTGTGTGCGGTGTCATTTTTAACCGATTTTTGTTGCTCGATTTTAATCGGACAACATCAAAACGTTTTGATA